GGTAGAGAAAAATCACCGGTTGAACAGTGGTAGAGAAAAAGGGCTTAATGCTCAGCTACCGGTTGAACGGTGGGTAAACACTTGTAACTATTTTTATATCTACCGTGGAACATTACATACCATTTATTTGCGAATTTTGACTCAGGAGCCCAGGCAAAAGGGTTAAAATTGGTCAAGAACGAATGGTCCAAATCTATCAATACCCAATTCTTTCTCTTTCAAAGCTCGACTGAGTTATACGACATGAATTAAATGAACTGGTCCGATCGTAAAAAACAAAAAAAAAACGGGTAAATATTTTTGGAAAATCATTATTGTAGCTTACTATATTTTTGACCGTTATTTGTACAATTTATCAGTGTCGAAAAATATTGATTTTTTAAAAATTATTTTAGAAAGTGGCTTTGTTCATATACCTCCCACATTTTAAACTGTCACCTGTCTAGTGCTAATGAAAATAGGCAAATGGCAATAATGTCTTTATCCACCTAATGTCTTAACATTAATTTTTGGATTCCATTATCGCTTGCACTGGTGAAGACCGTGCGTTTGAAATTGAAACGTCCTTTTAAGACCGGTGAATCAGTAATTGCAACACAGAGATCCTTTCCTGCCCATTTCATGTTACGTCGGGATGATGCTGTTCCGGGGAGAAAATCGATGTTGCTATGGGTTGAAAATGTCAGGGCCACAGGTCCAACCCTTAAAAGAATGCCACCTGGGAGACCTCGAAGCAATCGAACTTACTTTTAAGGGAAAACTTCAGAAATCGCAACAAGGTATAACGAAGAGGAGGCCATTTTTAAAACGAAAGAAATATTAGGTTGGTGCAAAAATAATGTCGTTTTTTGACGTTAAGTTGAACGTCAAAAACGACATTATTTTTGCACAACCTCCCTAAAAAGTGTAGCCCTTTGTTTAAACAACATTGAACTATTTGTTTTGATAGCAGTTACAGCGGTCTTTATGTCATCCTTTAAAATGTTGAAGATATTTCTGTCCCGCCCTATATCTATCTATCTATCTATCTATCTATATATATATATATATATATATATATATATATATATAACAATTATTATTAACAATTATAATAAAAACATGTAATAAACCGCTACATGAATGCAATCATGTTTCGACACTGCATGTGCTTCTTCAGGCGGTAGTGTTTAACCCTTATTATTAAGCTCTACTCTGTATTGAGTACTTTTAGAAATTATGTTTAGACATTGGAATTAACCTACCTTTCACATGGACATATGCATACATACATACATACACACACACACACACACACACACACACACATATATATATATATATATATATATATATATATATATATATATATAAGTGAACATTGAAGTCAGCCTACAGAGGCGACAGGCTGTTTCATGCTAGACGCAATCGTCAGGCCGGTCTATCTCTGATATTGAGCACTATCACATAAATATAGCACACCATAAAACTATATTTCTTCATATATATATATATATATATATATATATATATATATATTCGCTTTATCACAGTTCCTCATTGTAGCTTGGCGTCTGAAAGCCTCACGCCAGGACTGGAAACCCGGCCGATTTGGTGTCAGAAAATATTGCTTCACTCAGTTTGAAGTGCAATTTCTTTTTTGTGTCAAGAGATCCTTAATGATATAAAAAAAATCTATGTATCGATCTATATGTATATATGTATGCATGTCTGTCCGTTTATCTATTTATCTCTGTTTATCTTTCTCAGTTTGTCGTATATATCTATCTCAGTCTATTGACATCTTTATATCTATTTTTCTCAGTCTATTCATACCTATCTATCTATCTATCTATCTATCTATCTATCTATCTATCTATCTATCTATCTATCTATCTACATAAATCTTTCCATCCATCTCTCGCTATCTATTTCAGACAGTTCATCTCTCTCTCTCTCTCTCGCCCTATCTATCTATCTATCATATCTATCTATCTATCTATCTATCTATCTCTATCTATCTATCTATCTATCTTTCCATCCATCTCTCGCTATCTATCTATCTATCTATCTATCTATCTATCTATCTATCTATCTATCTATCTTGCTCATATCTGTCTCTTTGAAGGCATAAATTTATCGTTCTCAGCAAGAAAATGAATTTTATAAACAGGCATTGATTTGAAAATTTTTCACCGTAAACTTATATCCATCGATTCTGTATTCAAAGTGAACTATTTTCTTAATAACAGTTGTCTCGCTATTTTATCAACCTTTAAATTATGAGAGGTATTTCTGTATATTTCTATCACCCTGTATAAATACAATGTCAAATTGATCTCTGACTTCTTAAATAGTTATCTATAATTTGGATTCGTAATTTTCTATGTCCAAATCGTGCAAGCGATATCGTTTCGAAGTGATAATTCAGAGAGCTGAGTTCGAATTCCGGTCGCGGTCATCATATCCATTTACGTACAAAAACTCTTGAATTAATCTTCTTTCCTCAGCTATAGGTTAAGCGATAATATCTTTATTCGAGAAATTGTTTTTTCTCAAAAAATATAAACGTAATATTCAATCTTCAAAAGAAAGAAATGTACTTACAACCCAAAATATACTTCAGTTTAAAATTGATGAAATGAATATGCATATACCTGGGTTCCCTCTCACAGTAATATGATTGGATGGTGTCAGCCATAAATGCAGACTGATGTGGAGGTACATGGAGAACGCCTATTGGCTACGCCTATTGGCTACCAGTACGACGAGGACCAGTCAATTACGTTTACCTTCTAGATTGTCCTACTCGGTTACAGTCGTCAACAACCACTTTGCTACTTCGAACAAATATATCCCTTTCCGGGACATATCATAAATAAACCCCAAAAGATAGATAATCCGTAAAAAATAGTCAATGCATATTAGAGGTGTACAGTTCCGGTTTCGGTCGGTTTACTTTCCGGCCGTCTCGATGTGTCTCTCTTCTACTTTACTATCTTAGTATACTCACCACATTTCGACTGTTGTACACACCGGCCTTCTTCAGGGGCCTGTCTTAAAATGTTTTAATATTCAAACAAGCTTCAAACATACTCTGAATTAAAAATTACCACAGGCTCATCACGGAATGAATCCTTTCTGCAATTAAGAGTTTTATACCAACTTTCTTTCCACGCCTCCTGGGTATGACGATAAACTAAATCCGGCAGCAAGACCTCTGATCAGGAAGTTTTCAGGAGTGTGGTACCACGTCTTAATTGCTATTGTTCCCAGCTCCACCCTGACCCTGGGTGGTAGCATCTGGCAATGTCCCAATGTCATTTGTGAATACCTATGATGAGGATACAACGGTATATGGGTGCACCTCCAAAACCTTTGAGGACCAGGACTTGGCAGCTGATCTCTCCTCTGACCGAGCTCTTACAGCTCAATAGGAGAAAACCTAGCTGATCACATAAAATATCTCAAAAACTAAACTAGTAACGTTTCATCATCTCCGAGTGGACCCATAATTGTCATCTATCACTATGAACGGATGCTCTCTCAGGGAAGTCACGTGCCTTTAGCGCATATTAGGACGTAAACTTAACCGAGATCTCACAGAGGGTGCAGGACTACTCATCACTACCAGCTCAACATCGCCGACTCCACACCGCCGATCCCACACCGCCGACTCAACGCCATGCAAACTATGAAGATTTTGTCGACTTTTTTTTTTTTTTTAAACCGAATAAAATTAATCCATTAAAGGTCATTTTAAAACATAACAATTTTAAAAAACCGAATAAAAGTAATTTATAATGATTATTTTTAATATATAGCTTTATTTTTAATTTATAAAACTTTGCTCATTTACAGCCTAGGTCACAAAACCAAAATCTTATGTTGCTGTCTCTTTGATTAACTTAACAAATACAAATAATTGGTCTTCGTGTCCAAATATTTTATTTCCCTTTTGACAAAGGATTTCCATTTTTGGTATGATGAATATTTTGAAAATTAAACAAGAGTCAAATAAGCTGCTGTAATCAATAAATCACTTAGACAAACTTTCAAAATCTTTACAACTCAAAGCTGATTTAAGAGATGTGCACGGTGCTGAGTCGGCGGTGATGAAAATTCCCCTCCCGTAAATACGAATACTGAGGCTGCAAAAATGATCGGTTCCCTGTACCGTTCTTGTAAGTACCTGACACCTACTGCTATCTTTTACCTTGACAAGAGCTAGTTCAGGTCAAAAATAGAGTACTGCTGCTATGCATGGACAGGAACTTCCCAATCTTCGCTTTCCAGTCTCAATAGAATCCAAAATCGTCCTTGTATTTGATGAATCACTTTTCACCCGACAATCCCGTCCCCCGCATCACATTACAAGCTGCTCGCTGTTCTATAGCTATTTCAATGTAACGTGTTCATACGAACTACATAGTTGTCAGCTTATACGTCTCGTAGTGTTAGCCTCTGCTCGGGTACTTCAAAATGCCTCTATTCTTGGTCTAGATTCATTTTATGCCCTTCTGAGATTGGAATGAGTCTAGTTTTCAGCTTATATGTCTAGTAGTGTTAGCCACCGCTCGGGTACTTCAAAATGCCTCTATTCTTGGTCTAGATTCATTTTATGCCCTTCTGAGCTTGGAATGAGTCTAGTTGTCAGCTTATACGTCTAGTACTGTTAGTCACCGCTCGGGTACTTCAAAATGCCTCTATTCTTGGTCTAGATTCATTTTATGCCCTTCTGAGCTCGGAATGGGTCTAGTTCTCAGCTTATACGTCTAGTAGTGTTAGCCACCGCTCGGGTACTTCAAAATGCCTCTATTCTTGGTATAGATTCATTTTATGAACTTCTGAGCTTGGAATGAGCCTAGTTGTCAGCTTATACGTCTAGTAGTGTTAGCCTCCGCTCGGGTAGCCTCTATTCTTGGTATAGATTCATTTTATGCCCTTCTGAGCTCGGAATGAGTCTAGTTTTCAATACGTCTAGTAGTGTTAGCCACCGCTCTAAAATGCCTCTATTCTTGGTATAGATTTATTTTATTTTGATGAACTTTCTCAGCTTATACGAGCCACTCGGGTAAAATGCCTCTATTCTTGGTCTAGATTCATTTTATGCCCTTCTGAGCTTGGAATGAGTCTTGTTGTCAGCTTATACGTCTAATAGTGTTAGCCATCGCTCGGGTACTTCAAAATGCCTCTATTCTTGGTATAGATTCATTTTATGAACTTCTGAGCTTGGAATGAGCCTAGTTGTCAGCTTATATGTCTAGTAGTGTTAGACACCGCTCGGGTACTTCCAAATGCCTCTATTCTTGCTAGAGATTCATTTTATGAATTACCGAGCTTGGAATGAGCCTAGTTGTCAGCTTATATGTCTAGTAGTGTTAGCCTCCGCTCGGGTACTTCAAAATGCCTCTATTCTTGGTATAGATTCATTTTATGCCCTTCTGAGCTTGGAATGGGTCTAGTTGTCAGCTTATATGTCTAGTAGTGTTAGCGACCGCTCGGGTACTTCAAAATGCCTCTATTCTTGGTATAGATTCATTTTATGAACTTCTGAGCTTGATCACCACTTGTTAAACAAAGATTAGTGTAATTTGTAGCGTTACGAATTCAAGGAGAGACGACACATTCCTACGAAGTTCTTAAAAATTAACATATTTCAAGATGAATTGAAAAAAACGTAAAAAATACTACTTTATATATGTAAGTGTATAATAATTCTAGTGTGACTATGTGGGATTCAGATGATGATATATATTCGGAAGTGCGTATATGTGCAGAAGACATTCTCAGGTGCTTTTTTTACAGACATGAATGTAGAAATTTGCGACACTTATCACTGAATAAAACTGTGTAAAAGTTTGATTTTGTAAAGGAAAAAAATAACAGATTATCCAAACTGATTAGGTGTCGAGAATGTATTATTCCAATGTCTTTTTTTTCAAAATCAGTCAAATTTATTTGTAAACAAACAATATCAATGTTTTTTTTTCTTTCTTTTATTAAAAACTTCGGCAGTACGATTCGGCTTGTTGTTAGAATTTTATTGCTGGCTTGTTGGGCGATGCGCGCGAATAACTGTAAAGGATTCTGATGTAAAAGAGTGGGTGGGTATGTGGTGGATATGAAATGGCAAGTTGGCATTTAAAATCAAAATCGAGATTTAGGAGGGGGGAGTTGGAGGCAGAGCGGCATTACAATACGTCTTTTACGTTAAAGTGATGGTTTAGAGAATTTTTTCACTTTTGTTTTTAATCCGGCAAAATCTTTACCAGCCCCTTAGAGAGAAGGATAGAGAAAGAAAGGTAGAGAGTCTGGTACCGAGGCAGTGTGTGAAAGCGGGCTATGGGTGGGGAGAAAAGAATAAATTCCTCTTCGGGAAATAAGAATAAATGAAGTGGAAAACGCATGAAAATAATGAAATATGAATGGGCGGTGCGGGGGGGGGGTGAATGAGTCGGCAAGACTGAAAACAAATGAAGAAATAAAATAAAAGGAATGAAAACGGGTAAAAAGTGAAGGATTTGGGAAATTTGGGAGACAAGTCAAGAAATAGGGACATTGTTGAAAAGATGAGCGAAAGAATAAAGATGTGCGAATAGAGGGATAAACTATTGGAATGAGAGACAAGGAGGGAGAGTTTTATCTATCTATCTATCTATCTATCTATCTATCTATCTATCTATCTATCTATCTATCTTACCCTGTTCAGATGTATCTGTCTATCTATCTATCCAACACTGTTCAGACATATTTATCTCAATCAGTTCATCTCTCTCTTTCCTTCTATCTCTCTTCTCTCTCTCTCTCTCTCTCTCTCTCTCTATATATATATATATATATATATATATATATATATATATATATTGTCATCCACAGACACACTGTTTCGCAGCATCACAGTTCATTAGTGTGGCTACACGTCCCGTTGTTAGGATCGAAACGCGGCTGAAATGGCGTCAATCGGAGATTCTACCCCTGCCGTTGGCGCATATATATATATATATATATATATATATATATATATATATATATATATATATATATATATATATATATATTCGTCCTGCAACAGGAACTGTCAGAGGACGAATATTTTGACGTACCTTAACCGATTCGGCCACAGAGGAGCGTTTGGTTAGCAAGGTCGATTTTACTGTCTTTAAACTACAATCTTCCATGATTCTCTCACGTACATTCATATCTGCTCGATGTGTATCCAAATGTAAAAAAATGACGTCACACATTATGAAATGGACAAAGCCCGACAATTATTTTAAGACATTTTTATGTATATACAGTCTTTTTATAAATACAAATATTTAATTAAATGCTCTGTTTATAATAAACAGTATTAAACAACATTTACCGGCCTGAATATATTTATATATCTGCCTGCCTACATGCGTATTTGTCTGTATATCCCAGCCTCTTCACACACACACACACACACACACACACACACACACATATATATATATATATATATATATATATATATATATATATATATATATACTCAACAAAATCTTAAGGCTAATAAAAAAAAATATATGAAAAAATGTAAACGAAACTTAAAAATAAAACAAAAAACTTTTTAGCATTTGTTAGGAAAAATTTGAATACTTAGGTATTAATCTAAATATTAGCTGCTCAAAATTTTAAGATCATATTTTAAAAAAAAGTCCTAAACAAAATAGGAAATGTCGAACAATGTATTTCAGTAGAGAGATACACGGCCGTCATTGTGAATAACTTCAAAATATCGATTTGGCCTGATCGATATAAGTGTCTACAAATTTTCACTGGAATATTATCACATGTGGTGAAGATGACACCTTTGCCCCACCCCCAAACATTTTCAACAGGGTCGAGCGTAGAAGCTGGATGGCCCAAAAGAATCACGTTATTCGCCGCGAAAAATCTTTTGTCCATCAGGCATTATGGATTGCAGCATTGTTCTGTTGAAAGATCCAGTCGTATTCACACAAGCGAGGGTCGACAGTCTATAATGATGCTCATTCCAACATTTCAATGTAACCAATCGAGGCTTGACGTCATGTAGCTACATTGTTCCTTGGAGGGAGATAGCACCCCAAGATGATGACTGAACCTCCTCCACTGTGCTCTCTAGAAAATGGGATATCCTTATCTTGCCAGTAACGTTGGAAGCCATCTGGTTCATCCAGGTTAAGTATTTTTCTCATCAGAGAACAAAGCCTTCTTCCACTTTTCTATGTTCCATGTTTGGCGTTAAACTCTCCAAAGTTTAACCGAGTTGTTTTGTCACATAGAAAGAAAGCGTGGTTTAAGCTTTTTAAAGCCTTTCTCTCTGAAATACCTTCTCATTGTTCTTGAGTTGAATTCTGTATTAGTAAGGGCATTAATCTGGTTCGATGGCCGGCTGGTGTCTTGTCGAATAACCCGTCGAATCATCCTACACAACACCGACGAGATTATCTTGGCCCAACCACTTGAAATTCTCGTCGCGCATCCCCAAGAGACTTTTAAGAAAATTGCCACCGCAGTTTTACTACATCCAATCTCACCAGCGTTGAGAGAGACCTTGCTTTTGCAGCTCGACAATTCTATCAATTTTAGCCTTTGTCATTTTTTTACCTTGTGTAACGCAGAAGATACCAGTGGGAGATGCTGACTGCGCTAATACATGAAGACAAATGACAAAATTTCGTTACGTATTTACTTATTGAAGCTTCGATTAAATATGGTCTTAAACTTTTGACGATCTAGCTTAATATCTCAGTATTCGAATTTTCCTTCTGAAATGCTAAATTTAAAAAAAAATTTCCATCCCTTATTCTCATTTTTTCGAACATTTAACGACGCAAAAGGTATATTTTTCATTGACCAGTAGTGTATATATATATATATATATATATATATATATATATATATATATATATATATATAAAATATATATATATATATATATATATAAACATATATAGTCTGTGGATTACAATATATATATATATATATATATATATATATATATATATATATATATATATATATATAAATTTTAAAGAAAAAACAAGATGAAATAACTATAATTTATTTGCAAAAAATAAAATTAGGGTTTTCCATTCTTGGAACTTACGGCAAAATAACCATATTTTTAAATCAATTAATTTATAATATATATATATATATATATATATATATATATATATATATATTTCCACTGTTTTTCCATTCTGGTGAAGTCACACTCTGCATATCATTTGAAGGTTCTTGAGTCCATTTACATCAAGTCCCGCAGGCCGTTTCTCTGTAAGCAGAGAGATTGCTTGTTGGGCTTGAATGTGATTGGCTCTAGTTCTTCTATCATATATAAAAATTTTTTTTCCCTTTCCCCCCCTCATTGAATGGTTTTTTAAGTTTATGATTAAATAATCCTAGTGTATCAAACTTGAGGAATACTGGGACAGAAACCGGTTGTTTGTTTTAGTTCTTAGTTTTCATAATTATGTCCTTTACATTCCGCTTATTCCTTGCCATAATAAAATTTTGTACCTGTAAGAATCTTTTCAAATATATATATATATATATATATATATATATATATATATATATATATATATATATATAAAAAAAGAACAGTAATATATAATCCGGTGTTCTTATAGATATTTTTATTTTTACAAAATAATGCTCAATCTAAATTTACAGAGCATTAATATTATAAATTAATTGATTTAATTATGTTTTTTTTCGCTACACAGTTCTAACCATGTTTCAAAAATGGAAGTATTACTAGTCATTGTTTACAAATTCGCACTTATCTTCCAACAGTGCACAACTGAATTTAAGTTTTTCGTGTGCGTATATATTATCATCAAGAGACAAACAGTTAACGCTGTATCACATCTCATCAGTGTGGCTAAAAATCCGATTGCTTCAAGTCGGTATCGAAACCCGACTGCTTCGGCAACAGTCGGAAATTTTCCCCCGAAGCGATATATTTGAAACTTTAAATTAATTCAGCTAGATATTAATAAAGTTATAAAACTCCCAGCACTCCTCGTTCGTGCGCATGTGTAGTCGTACAAACTTTATAAATGTAATCCGATGAAGTCCTAAAGGACGAAACGCTTCACAAGTAAACTTTTTACACTTTTTTCATACAATTTTCCTAAAACTGTTCTTATATATATATATATATATATATATATATATATATATATATATATATATATACAGTGCTGTTCGATAAAAGTGACTCACCTGATTTTTTTTTTATTTAAAGATTTTTTCGCCTATTGTTTTGGGGGTCAAACTAATTTTTAATCTTACTAATATAAAGACCCATTCCCGACCACCTAGTAAAAAAGTTTACTCACCCTAAGGTATTCTATTGATAATTATAATTTTGGATATAAATGAGATTTAGGGAAAAACTCTGCGCAAAAAAAGTGACTCACTTATTTCTTGCAACTCGTAATCAATAGAAACATATGCGAACAGCTTTAAATAAAGAATAATAGAGGTATAATTTATTTATAATAGGTAATATAGTTCGAAATATATAATAATCTATGGGTCCTCCTTTATTTTGAATAACCTTTTCAATCCTTTTCGGCATTGACTTGATTAGGTTCTGTCAAATCTCATCTCCAAGCATTGAATTACATTCAGATATGAAATTCACAATCAAATCCTCTTTGTTGTTCAACTGCTTTCTCGAGAGCATGTACTTTATAATGCTCCATAAGTTTTCTATGGGGTTGATGTCAGGAGATTGGGGCGGCCCTGTCATAACACTCACCTGCTTCTCATCAAAGTATTCCTTCATCAATTTTGATTTGTGATAGGGAGCATTATCCTGCATAAAAATGAGCATGGTGGAGTCGATTTGCACCCTTTCAGCAGAAGGGAGCAGACAAGACAGAAAATGTCTCGTATTTAACATTGAAAAACATAAGGAAAAAATTAATTATTTTTAATAATATGTGGAAATCTCCGCTTTTACCTGAAGACGGTCGTGAGACCAGAAACCCGTGTAGTAAAATTATGTAAAACAAAGCATAATATCTTACTTATTATAAAACGCAGATTGTGTGTGTGTGTGTGTGTGTGTGTGTAACGTTTATATATTGGGTCGGATTTCCTACATTTTTCAACCGATTTCAACAAAACTTCACAGGACGAGATAAAATTACCTTGTGGTGGTTCTAACAGCGCCAAAAATGGGAAAAATATAATTGTTTTTGCACAAAATCAATTTGAAAACACGATTATGAGACATCGTGAAAATGGAAGGGGGACAACTCACATCGGTTTGTTTGTGTGTGTGGGTTCCTTTAAATATGGGAGCGGATTTCCTATATTTTTCAGCCGATAAAACAAAACTTCACTTTTTTTTTGGTTTTGGCAGGTAGTGTTTCTTATTCTCTTGCACACTTTTTTCTTTATTTTTAACATTCAGAATGCTTTAAAAATTCCATTTACAAGACAATTATTTATAATAAAATTCCTTTTCAATTGGGAGACTCATAACGATTGAAAACAATGTTTTTGTTTGAGTTTGGGTTTGACCAATTCGTAAAAAATAAAAAAAAAAAAACTAATTAAGACATGCGTGTCCGTCAACCTTAAACAATAATCTAACGATCTCTACTGATTGTACGAATACAAACATCGGAATAAATTCTTTATCTTTAGGGAAAGATAATGAAATCTAAACATACACAAGTCCTAACTAAAAATAATAACCGGAACGGGAAACTACTTTAAATACACATGGTGTCCAATTTTTTACTGTATTCAATAAGTGAAAATCATAAATTGTAAAAAGATTATTATTACAGAAAGGCTACAAAATGAATAAGATTTGTTAGATCATAATTAATAAACCCAAATAAAGTTAATATTTTTTGTATTAGAAACAACGAGTGGAAAATATATTCAAATCAGAATTCTAATTATGAATCACCATAAGCAAAATATGCAATTTTTTTTACTGTATTCAATAAGTAAAAATCATAAATTGTAAAACTAAAAAATTACAGAAAGGCTACCTACATTTTTCAACCGATTTCAACAAAACTTCACTTTTTTTTTGGCATGTAGTGTTTCTTATTGTCTCGTACACTTTTTTCTTTATTTTTACATTCATCATAAATTGTAAAACTAAAAAATTACAGAAAGGCTACCTACATTTTTCAACCGATTTCAACAAAACTTCACATTTTTTTGGCATGTAGTGTTTCTTATTGTCTTGCACACTTTTTTCCTTATTTTTACATTCAGAATGCTTTCCTTTAAAAATTCCATTTACAAGACAATTGTTTATAAAATTATTCTATTCATACTCATAACGATTGAAAACAATGTTTTTGTCTGAGTTTGGGTTTGACCAATTCGTAAAAAAAACAAAAAAAAAACTAATTAAGACATGCGTGTCCGTCAACCTTAAACAATAATCTTTGTCAATTTTATTTTTCAGTCTTTATGATGGTGGATACTTGATCTATCTCTTACTGTTATATCCCCGGGCAACGCCGGGCTCTACTGCTAGTTTTTTCTAAATAAATCCACATTACAACCAAAAACGTTTGCGGCACCTCTTCTCTTCTTTTTTTCAATATATATATATATATATATATATATATATATATATATATATATATATATATATAAAATGTAAGGAGTCCATAAAGCATCTTTATAATTAAAAATATATATATATATTAAAAAGCAAATGAACAAACAAATATGTGGAAATCATTACAAAATGAGGAGTAGATATTGAATTTTTTTTTTAACTATTTTATTCCGCCTCTGATGGATACCATTAGTTGTAAGAAACACATGAAGATGGTACCAGATTTTTTGCTATGTTTGCGGTAGCATTGCCTCATCAATGGTGGTAATGGAATCAGTGATCTTTTGCTTTAGATCAGTGATATCCCGTATCTTTGTTCGACATCTTCAACATAACCCCACAGAAAGAAGTGCTGTATTTTCGCTGATTTTGTGTATCCGACTGTGTTTCAATAAACCATGACATGCATTGAGCCTTTTCTTGAAGAGTAGCCATTTGTTAGGTGTTTAATAGTAGCACTTGAATCAACAGGATAACTGAAATATACAAATGCAATGTGGTTAAAACCATTTATAACTCCTGAGTACATAGAACAAATTTGATTAAAATATCTCATCAATTCTCTTTGTATTATATTTTTAAATTATAAAGAGACTTTATGGATACCCCTGTATATATATATATATATATATATATATATATATATATATATATATATATATAAAAAAAAAATATGTTGTAGTGGTTCCAACGAGAAAAAGTATGTATATTAAAAAGAAGAGGGGGCTGCCGCAAACGTTTTTGGTTGTAATGTGGATTTATTGAGAAAAAATATTATTTGTTTCATATAATTTCACGACACGTGTTTTTGGTCTGGTCTCGCAAACCGTCTTCAGGTGAAAGTGGAGATTTTACATCGAGAATATTCCACATTGAACATGAAGAAAAATTAATTATTTTTAATAATATATAAAATCTCCACTTTCACCTGAAGACGGTTGCGAGACCAGACCAGAAACACGTGTCGTGAAATTATGTAAAACAAAGTATAATATTTTTTCTCAATAAATCCACATTACAACCAAAAACGTTTGCGGCACCCCTCTTCTTTTTAATATATATATATATATATATTACAAACATTATGTTGGCTTATTTTTAGCATAATCCGTTCATATTCACGGATATCTTCCGTGTATTACAATCAAATGATGCAAGAAATGCATTGTAACAGTGAAAATGACTTTTATTTCCAAGTAATTTCCACTTCTTTCTTTTTTTTTTTCATCCCTGATGATGATCTCAGAAAGAAATGGAAAATATTAGGGAAATAAAAGTGATTTTCACTATTACAGTGCATTTCTCCCCTCATTAGATCGTAATACACGGAAAAAATTTTCGTGAATATGAACGGATTATGCTAAAAATAAGCAGACATGCTCGTAATTTATTTCATCAGACATGCCAAAAGAGATATTTCTACCTAAATGCACACACACACACACACACACGTATATATATATATATATATATATATATATATATATATATATATATATATATATGTGTGTGTGTGTGTGTGTATGTGTATATGTGTGTTTTATGTATGTATGTATGTGTTTGTGAGTGTGTATGTGTGTGTTTGTGTGTAAATATTTCAGATAGAGTATATGTGTAAAAGGACAATAGAAAGATAACTAAAGGAAAACTTAAGTTAGCCAACGCGTTTCGTCCCTTGAGTACATTTATTAAGGTAAAATGAGGTTTTTTATTTTGTAATAAGTATATATATATATATATATATATATATATATATATATATATATATAAAAATTTATTGGTTTTTTCAAAATTTCTAGGTATTGGAATGTTCATAAGTATTCATCAGGCTAATTAAAAATCAGGTATGTTATGGAGGACATGAAGTGATCAAATTTATTGTCTAATAAACGAAACAGAATAAATGATATTTTAAACAATTTTTATATGCAAATTCGTATTCAAATTATTTTAGTTTGGGATTAATTTATGTTTTATATATTTTGAATAGCATGAGCTTATGATTTTAACCGTTTTCGTTTAAATTCTTTTAGCATTTTTGTCGTCATGCATAAGGAGAAAACTGGAGGCAGCAGAAATGTGGTTCTACAGGAGGATACTGAGAATTCAATGGACGGAGCGATTGAGTATCAAGTAAAGAATCTTCTGAATCCTGAAAAAAAAGCTGAAATTCCTTGGTCACATAACGACTAAAGAGAGCTTGGAAATCTCAATACGCACGGGGGTATATTAAGGTGAAGAGAGATAGAGGAAGCAGCTTATCACTTATCTTACGAGATTGTGTCAATGGATAGCGGAGCATGGGTCTGGAGCTTTAGTCAAGGGAGAAAAAAACTATAGACTAAAGTGATAGGAAATTGTGGAGAGACATAATCACATATATATCCTACAGCATATCGACGAAGCACTGCATTTCATATTCGTATTTTTTTTATAGGTGGACATGTTAACCAATTCCTGCGTTTGTCTATCTATGAACGCGTATGTTTGAGGATTTAAAAAATTGCTTCATCAACCGCAAGGAAAGTTGGCCTTCTGTGTCGTGCCAGGAAGTTTTTCTCGTCTGTGTCCCTCATTCAAATCTATAAATCAACCATCCGTCCTTGCATGGAATATGGCTGTCATATATGGTGTACGTCCCGAGGTCTGCGACAAAATCCAGTGACGAATATGGAATATGATAGGTCCTGATCTGGCATCTAGTCTACAATCGCTTTCCCACATACGTGCCGTGGCTTCCCTATGTCTTTTCTACGAGTATTTTCACGGCAACTGTTCCGACGAGCTACTTTCGCTGGTTCCCAGACTGCATGAATTTAAGAGTGCTACTAGGTTGGCATCTTGGTCCCACCCTTTCACTGTCAAAACGGTTAAATGTAACCGTCTCTTCTACTCACACAGCTACTTCTCTGGCACTCCGCGTTTGTAGAACTCCCTTCCCCTTACTTGTTTCCCCGATGATTTTAATCTTCAAATATTCAAGTGTAATGTCAATCGACATCTGACACCCGGAGCTTATTCCCCGTCCTTCTCTTTATCCTCTCCCTAAAACGCCTCTTTACTCTTGTTCTCAATCCTCTGTAACCTCTTGCGTGCTAGTGGCACTCCCGCCTTGCTTGGGGTGAATTGCTTAAAAAACAAAAAACAACAACAAAAAACAAAAAAACAAAAAAACAAACAAACTATAAACAGACATATTTGACCGGCATTGTATCACGTTTTCTCCGCATGCACAGCAAATTTCACTTTTCTACATTCATGCTCAGTGCCGTGTTTTTCTATAATCATCCAAAAGTTATGTTTGTGTAAAAGCGTTTAATCCAATATGTCTGTGTTGTTTACGTTTGTTTGATGATGTATATTATTTCCTTCCTTTATACTTAATCCCAGGGAGGATAATGTCCAAAGAGTTGAATTCATTTTTTTTTACTTTAAATAGCTGACCCGTCCATTTTCAGATACGATTTTAAAAGAATTTAATTTTCGTTTTTTCTGTCTTATTTGTTTATTCGATTTTTTCCATTCCGTGTCCTCGTTTATTGAGTTGATAGTTTGAATTTCTTCTTTAGATTTACTTTCGATAGTTACCAGTGAATAACACTTTTATTTTTTGGTTTTTATCTTTGAGCTTCAAAATCATGTTTATTCATTCAGTGTTTTCAGTTTTTTAACAATGTTTTTTTTTTTTTTCGATACTGTAACCTATATCTTTTTTTCTTCCTTTTCATTATGTCTTTTTTCTTCAGTTGCTAGTGATTTTCGTTTCCTTTCATTTTCTCTTTCCTTTTTCATCTATATCTATGATCTTTATGTATTTTATCCTGGATTCTTTTTACTTTTCTTTCTTCCTGTCTATACATTTCCCCCCACTTTTCTTGTTTTTCCTTTTCAGTTTTGCCCTTTTTGTCATCAATTTTTTTTTCTTTTTTTTTATCCCTTTTCATTTTTAGGTACTTTTTCATTCATTCTTTATTTATTTCTATATCTGTTGACTTTTTGCCTTTTAGCTTTTCTAATTTTTTTTTTCCTTTCACGGTTCGATTTTGTTTACTTTTTATATCGTGTCGTTTAAAATATTGTCTATTCATTACTTTTTCTATGCCGTTTCCTTCTTTCTTTATTTCTTTCTTTCTTTCTTTATTTCTTTCTTTCTTTCTTTCTTTCTGCTTTATTTATTTATTTATTTAATTGTTTGCCTTTATTAGTCAGATTTTTCTTTTTTTTACTATTCTATTATTTTTCTTTTTCTACTTCACCTTTTTTATTTTTCCTCTTTTCTTCTTTCTTTCTTTCTTTCTTTCTTTCTTTCTTTCTTTCTTTCTTTCCTTACTGCTGTGTTTTTCTTTCGTTTTTCTTCCACTATTGTATTCTCTTTTTATTTGACTTTTCTTTTGGCATTTTCATTAACACTTCTACTCATACTTTTCTATTCTCTCTTTTTTCTTTTCTGTTTCTTTATTCAACTTTTCTCTCTTTTTATTCTCCCTCTTTCTATCTATCTATCTATCTATCTATCTATCTATCTATCTATCTATCTATCTATCTATCGTATTCTTCTTTCTTTCTTTTTATCTGTTTGCTTTGTCATTTAGTTTAACACTTTCACTCATACTTTTCTACTTTTTATTTCCTTGTTTTCTATTTTTGCATTCCACTTTTCTTTTCCCTCTTTTTATTCTCCTTCTTTCTTTCTTTCTTTCTTTCTTTCTCTTTCCGTATCTGTCTTTCTATCTCTATTGAATTCTTCTTTCTTTCTTTTAATCTGTTTTCCCTTTCTATTTTACTTTAACATTTTCGCCAATAGCTTCTTATTCCTTCTTTATTTTTCCTTTCTTGAAATTCTCCTTTTCTATTTGACTATTTCTTTCTTTCTTTCTTTCTTTCTTTCTTTCTTTCTTTCTTTCTTTTCACATTCTATACTTCGTTCTTACTTTCTTTAGGGTATTTTTCTTTCTTTCTTTTTTCTTTCTTTTTTCTCTTTCATTTATCCCTCTCTTTTTTTATTTTATTTTTTTTATTTTTATTCAACCTTTTCTTTCCTTTCTTCTATTTCGCTTTTCTATCTTTCGTTGTTTCCTTCTTTCATGCTTGCTTACTTCCTTTCTTTCATTTTCTATCATTTTTCTTTCTTTCTTTTTCCTATAACGCCTTTTCTCTTTTCTTTCAATTTCTTTCATTCTTGCTTTATTTCGTGTTTTTTTCCTTTTAAATTTTATTTTCTATTCAGCTTCAATTCTGCTTCGCTTTCTATTTTTTTCTTGTTTGCAATCAGGTTTTTTTCTTCATTCATTTTCGTCTTTCTTTCTTTCTTTCTTTCTTTCTTTCTTTCTTTCTTTTAGCTGTCTTTTAACTATCTCTTTAAGTCCAATACATTTAATTCTATTTCTTCGTGATCCGTTTATTCCATTCTTATCTTTATTTCCAGTCGATTCTTTCTTCCTTCTCAACTTCGTATCGTACATTATTGTCTTAAGAATCCCATAACAATTTTGGAGACACAGACCGAATCAAAGCTAAACGACTGTCGCCATTATGTCTACCGCTTAACACCGGCTTAGCGATATGAACTCATGGCGGAAGAAATCGAGTCGACGTTGATTAGTTATATCGTTTTGGTCAGCGAATAATTCCTTTTGTTTCTTTTCGCTTCAAATCCATTTCACTCGCAGTCGCAATCTCATTTTTTTCCAAATCATTACCCGCCGTTTTTTGTTTCCTGGTCAAATCCTTCCTATTTTCCCCTAACTCCACATTTTCCATGTCGTTTTCTGCCATTTCCACGGATTTCCCGCCGTTTTTTACTCTATTACCGGTGATCAAATCTAGTTGAGATGATCTTATTATTTGGTTCTCCTTTCACTTTCCCTTTCGCCTTCAGCTTGCCCGAGACTCTGCCGATTATCCACACCCTTTAAAAACAGTGCCTCAAGCCGGCGAAATGTTGGAGTCTTAACTATTAGATTATAGTCTGTATTCAAATAGGCATATAATGTGTATAAGTGTTTTTTGTGAGCCCACGCCTACAAATAAGTGTCTATCAGTGGGCACAGTACATATATATATATATATATATATATATATATATATATATATATATATATATATATATATATATATATTGTACATTTAAGTATGCACTTTAACATGTCATATAAAACAGGAAATAATAGAAATCATATAAATACACACACGTATGTATATATATATATATATATATATATATATATATATATATATATATATATATATATATATTGATATCTGTCAATATTTCTGAGATGAGGTATTTTAACTATTTACACTATCTACATTGTTCGGCCTCTGTGTGTGTGTGTGCGCACGCGCGTGTGTGTGTGTGCGTGCGTGCGTGTGTGTGAGAATAAGTTGATAGAATTAAATGTCTATGGATATTTCCATTTTTATCTCATAATTCTGAAAAGTGTCACGTAGTATCAATATTATTGGATAGATAAATACTAAATTTTTAGTGAATGTAAGATTATGTAGCGCCATAGTTATAAAGATAACGCAACCTAGATCCACTCTAGAGTTGAGAGCAACATGAGCCAGTGCACTATCACAAATGAGTCGACATTGAAATTGACACTTATTCTATATGCGTGTGAATATACACACACTCATATAGATAGATAGATAGATAGATAGATAGATAGATAGATAGATAGATAGATAGATAGATATTGATAAAGAGAAGAGAGAAAGAGATAATTTGCTATGAATTAGGATGACATAAAGACGAAATATGGATAGGAATCCGACTGCATGATAACATAACGCACAAATAGGAAATGTTTATGAATATTTCACTTATATTAATTTCTCTGATGAAGTGAAACATAATAGATTGATAACCTTTCCTGTTTGTTCTTTATCTTATCATAGATAGATAAACAAAACTGAGATAGATGTATACATATGAACAGACTGAGATAGATAGATAGATAGATAGATAGATAGATAGATAGATAGATAGATAGATAGATAAATATGGACAGACTGAAATAGATGTATACATATAAACAGACTGAGATAGATATATAGATAGATTTAAATATATAGATAGATAGATAGATAGACAGACTGAGATAGATAGATAGATAGATAGATAGATAGATAGATATGGACAGACTGAAATAGATGTATACATATGAACAGACTGAGATAGATAGATAGATAGATAGATAGATAGATAGATAGATAGATAGATAGATAGATAGATTTAAATATATATATATATATATAGATAGATAGATAGACAGACTGAGATAGATAGATAGATAGATAGATAGATAGATAGATAGATAGATAGATAGATAGATATGGACAGACTGAAATAGATGTATACATATGAACAGACTGAGATAGATATAGATAGATTAAATATATAGATAGATAGATAGATATTTAAAGATATATAGATAGATAGATAGATAGATAGATAGATATGGACAGACTGAGATAGATGTAGATAACAGATGAGATAGATAGATAGATAGATTTTAAATGTATAGATAGATAGATAGATAGATATGATATGATAGATGGACAGACTGAGATAGATGTATACATATGATACATAGATAGATGAGATAGATAGATAGATAGATTTAAATAACAGACTGGGATAGATAGATAGATTTAAATATATAGATAGATAGATAGATAGACAGACTGAGATAGATAGATAGATAGATAGATAGATAGATAGATAGATAGATAGATAGATAGATATGGACAGACTGAAATAGATGTATACATATGAACAGACTGAGATAGATAGATAGATAGATTTAAATATATAGATAGATAGATAGATAGACAGACTGAGATAGATAGATAGATAGATAGATAGATAGATAGATAGATAGATAGATAGATAGATAGATATGGACAGACTGAAATAGATGTATACATATGAACAGACTGAGATAGATAGATAGATAGATTTAAATATATATATATATAGATAGATAGATAGATAGATAGATAGATAGATAGATAGATGCATACATACATACATACATACCCTGTAAGATTAAAAGATAGAGTGAAGTGAAATGAATTGCATCATTCCTCTTCCATTTTTCATGTCGGCTACAAAACAGTGAGAAAATAGAACAGAATTTTATAGGTAAATATTCTAAATGATTTGAAATATTTATCAGCGTCTTTTTATATAATTCTTATTTCATTTGTTTATTATTTCCCGTATCAAATATATTACGCTTAAACCTATTGGAACAATATATTTAGAATATATATATATATATATATATATATATATATATATATATATATATATATATATATATATATATATATATATATATATATCCTGCCCTTCGAAGAGCAATTAGGTCATTAATTTGGAAACAAAAAAAAAAAACAAAATTAAAACTTAAAAAATGCAGATAATAACCTTTTCGGAAACTTATTCGGTAATAAACAAAATGATTTTCTTTCATTTTTGCGGAAATGTTTTCCACCCTTGTGCAAATTAATTGAAACAAAAACAAATAATTCCGTTATTATTAAATTTTTTTTCATATTTTTCCAATGAAACATGACCCAGTGCACAGGTTAGTACTTCGTATGTCCATTTCACGAAGTCGTTCCTTGAAGATTGACCACAGATTCTTGATTGGATTTAAATCAGAGTTTCCAGTCCAAACTATATTAGTTTGATTTGCTCGTGAACAACCGAATTTGAATAAAGCCAGCATGCTCACACCCTCAGTCACGATGACTTGGACCAGCTAGCTATCTACGAACAATTCTGCATAATGAATTTTACTCACAAGACTTCAATCAAACCATGGTTTGGGTTTCAGGCATTTGTTTTTATGGCTTATCAACCTTTTGCAGGTTATTCAAAGCCAGGAAATATATTTAGATTGTAAGAATCTTTTGGTGATTTACTGATACAACTCATAATTATTAACCCATAGATGGAGGAGAAAACCTGGATTCATATCTTTTCCAAATTTATTTGCGCGTAAATAAATATTACAAACCCGACTGGAATTTGAACTCAGCTCTCCCATTTCCGAACCGTTATCCATTATGCCACCTGTACATTTAATTTTACTGCACCTGTTCGTCCTAAGCTGTTAGACATCTAGCTACTAGCCAGGATCGATGTTGCTTAACTTGTGCGCTTACTGCTGTAAGCCATCTTTTCCGAGAAGGTATGGCGATTCACAGATAATAATATTTGGAAATTCATGAACAGCTACCCACGGGAGGTACATTGCAATTCTTTTTAATATATCTTTATACGTATATCGATATAATTACATGTGAGAATCTATTTCTAAGTGTCTTTATTAATATAGATAGGTAGCTATATTATCCGATGTGACTATATAGCCACACACACACACAACTATAACACATTAAGACGCACACATATGTATGGAAACAAAATCAAAATAATAACAACCACATCCAAAATTATGGATTTGATCAAAACCAAAAAAAAAAATAAAAATAAAATAAAATATTTACATTATTCAGACTATTGTCCTCATCTTTAACGACATATTTATTACAACGTTTCGGCTGTTGTACGTTCCGGCTTTCTTCATTTGGTTGGAATGTCGAACTGAACCCTGTATTTCGCTCACTGGGGTAGACTGTTCTAGTTCTACGTGCCATGTTTTAATGGATATCATTTATCAGTTATCTCCTGTTAATTCCCATCTCCAAGTTCTCCGCTTCCATAACCGGGTATTGAACTCGCACCCTTGGGTCCTGTCACTGGATCTAACTAACGCCACTGTACACTCTCCCGCCTTGTTTGCGGTGAAATCTTTAAATATTTTTTTTTTAAATAAATATTTTCTTTTATTAAAATAATTATTATTTGCTATTTTAGATCGATGCTTGTGTGTGTTTAGGCAAACGATTCTGATAATATCACCAAGGGTGAAAACATCCAAAACATCAGATATAATGTTATCAAAAGAATCGATTTACAAGTCTTTATTTGATAGCTATTTTTACTAAAAACAACGAAAAAATCAGTTGTTTCATTTATATCATGAGAAGAAATGCGATAGACAAAAAATGGTTCGTTACAGTTTTCTCTACGACTATTTTGGCGCCTATTTTTTGTCCCGATCAAAGAAATTCATGCAGTCTATTTCTTGAATATAAATATATATATATATATATATATATATATATATATATATATATATATATATATATATATATATATATATATACCGGGTGTAACAGCAAAATTGAGCTCTGAACTGTTATATCTCATAAATGATTAAACATATCTTACTGGAATTCCCTGTTTCTAATGCTATTGGACTTTGCTTTGCGCTATAGTAATGTATAATTACTGTCGAATCTTACCAGGAGAACTCCGATGACATCGATCCTAAACGAAAATGGTGTGTTCATCATTATTTAATCATAGCTAAGGATCGGAAGCTCATGAAGTATTGAAATAAATCTCATATATATATATATTTATGAATAAAAATGACAATAGGAAAACTGGTAATTGCTGACGCGTTTCGTCAAATGTGGACTTTATCAAAGCAAAATACGAAAATGAAATTAAATGAACAAAGTAACTAATAAAAAAAAACAGAATGTACCTAGCAACTGGAATGTAGAGAAACGCTATTTTCATATTTTTTAACTGAAAAATAACGTCAGAGATTGTCACGTGTGGAGAATATTGTCATTATATCTGTGTTGATGTATTCAGCCATTTTCTTTTGATTTTATGAATCTGTTGTGCATATTTGTTTGTAAGAGCATTAATTTTGTTAAGAAAGGTGAAATAGGGAAAAAGCCTGGGCGTAAATTAATATTCGGATAATTTTCTATGGCGGCACTCTCCAGAATTTTCCTTCTGAGTGAGTTATTTTCTTTTTTTATGAGTGTAGCATTTTTAAAATCAAAATTATGGTTGTATTTATTTCTATGTATGACTATATTGACAATATTCTCCACACGTGACAATCTCTGACGTTATTTTTCAGTTAAAAAAAATATGAAAATAGCAACATTCCAGTTGCTAGAAGGTACATTCTGTTTTTGTTTTATTAGTTACTTTGTTCATTTAATTTCATTTTCGTATTTTGCTTTGATAAAGTCCACATTGGACGAAACGCGTCAGCAATTACCAGTTTTCCTATTGTCATTTTTTATTCATAAATATTGTCTTCTCTACCGATTAAATCGGAGAAATTTTCATATATATATATATATATATATATATATATATATATATATATATTATTCCAGAATCATTCTCCAACTTATCCAAGATGATCTTCGCCCTCTCTAAACGTCTAGCTTTCTGTCCTCGAGGAACTAGAACTTTTAGTTATTGAAAATATCATCGCACAGACCGATAATTCCATTATAGCATAAACGCAATATGGTTAAAAAAAATCAATATTTCATAAGCTTTATTCGTCAAGTTGCTAGTGATGTAATTGAATAGTACTTATGTATTTTTTAACGGATTTAACAGTTTATAGCTATAGCATAACATACAACCTTACAAATAAACAAAAACTGCAAACTTGCAAAAGTCTTACTTTTCAAATTGCTAGTGATATAATTGCAGAGTACTTATGTATTTTTAATGCATTTAACAGCTTGTAGCTGTAGCATATCACAGCTTTATAAATAAACAAAAACAGGTTTAGAAAGTTCTAGCATGTTTACAAGTCCCCAGAAAGACAAATACTACTATAGTTCATTGAATTATGATTCAATAAAATCAGTTATTTTCAAAAAGTCATTATATATATATATATATATATATATATATATATATATATATATATAGAACCTGTATCCTATACGGAACCGTCATATAGCCTGACGTGCTTTTACCGATTGAGCCACAGAGGAGCGTTTCGTTTAGCAAGGTCGATTTTACTGTTTTTAAACTTACAATTCTCCATGATTTTCTCTCGTACATTCATGTCTACGGGCGATTCTGCATAACTAACTTCAGTCCCAAGGCCTCAGTCAAACATTGCTATGGTTTTCAGGCAATTGTTTTTTTTACGGATTATCAACTTTTTGCAGCTTATTTAAAGCTGGAATATATTTTTAGATTGTAAGAATTTTTATTTTTTAGATAATCATGGTTTAGTGATACATGTCTTACTAATTAATCCATAGCTGGGGGGAGGACAGCTGGATTCATATCTTTGCAAAACGTATTTGCGTGAAAGTGAATATAAAAGGGAAAGGAAAACACGAACGAAAGAAAGAATGAAAGAAAGAAAGAAAGAAAGAAAGAAAGAAAGAAAGAAAGAAAGAAAGAATGAAAAAAAGAAAGAAAGAAAGGGGCGAAGGAACGAAGGAATGAAAGGATAAATAAAAAATGAAGAACGAAATAGAGAAGGAATGAAAGGAAGAAAGATAAAAGAAAAGAAAGAAATAATGAAATAAAGAAAGAAAGAAGAAATGAAAGAAAAAGAAATGAAGGAAGAACTAAAGAAAGAAACAACGAAAGATCTAAACGAATAAAGAAAGAAAGCAAGAAAGAAAAACGAAAGAATCATCTCCTTTTTATTTTACTTGTCTCTTAAGAGAATAAAAACATCGTCCTTAAAACTGAATAAAATATACGAAAAAAGAAAAGAGAAAAAGAATAAGCAACATCTCGTCTCATTCCGACGAGAGAAATTCATCTTAATTTCAAAATGGCGTTTGTTTTTACAATCGTTTCTCTTACGGTAAGTGTATGTCGAACCCGTCGCTCGGCCAGAGGGGAAATGTATTATCAGTATTACGTACGCAAACGCAATCACAAATCTTTCACAGAGTTCAAAAGCATCTACGCGGCATTGTTTGTGATTATTTTCCACCCTGCCACCACTTTCCCAACTGACGCAAAGTCGTAAGACTCTCGTTACTCTATCGTTATGTAACATCCACAGAGTTGAATCACCTTCATTCTATATGCAGTCCATTTTTAAGAAGGATATCCCATTTTATTTCACCTGAAAACTTCTAATTTTTGGAAAAGACACTCGCATGGATCCTTTCCCAAAATCTTAACCTCCTTAAATCAAGAGTCAGCCATTTTCTATCATTCAAATCCTTATAATTCTCCTTTCCTCTTTTCTACTTTCTTTCATATTCACGTACGTCATGTCTATAGTATTCTCAACATCCTTCTGTAGAACCACATATCTCTTGCCTCACATTTCTTCTCGTTCACTTTTCTTTTCATTTATACAGGACTTACGAACACATCACCTTGAAGCACCAGTTCCCGTAGGATCATTTAAGTTAAGTAACGCCGAGCCTGGTCAGTACCTAGATGGGTAACTACTTGTGAATACCAGGTGCTGTAAACTTGAATGTGTGGGTGGTGTAATGCATAACAGCTCGGAATTGTTAATCATAGAGCCGAACATTAATTCCCATTGGGTTCGTTATATTCACTTACGCGCAAATACATTTGGGGTAAGTATGAATCTATCTCTTCTCCCCAGCTATGGGTTAATTAGTAAAATATTATCTCCCTCCCCTGACAATTTAAAAAAAAACAAGCATTTTTCTGGATTTAAATAAAGTGTTGATAAACCGTAAAAAAAAATGAATCATTCATTTTCATTTTATACTTCCTTTTCTATCTTTTTTTCTTTCATAAAATCTTTAAAATTTTAAGTCCCGGCTGCCTACATATTGTACGTAAATCTTTTTTCTCCTATATATATATATATATATATATATATGGACACAGAGAGAGATAGACATATATATATATATGTGTGTGTGTGTGTGTGTTACGAAGTTAAGCAGTGTCGAGTTCGGTTAGTTACAGCTTGAGAACACCGGATACTGTAAACAGCTTCTTGCAATCCGGATTATGTTTTGCCTTTAAATAACCCTCAAAGGGTTGATAATCCGTAAAAAAATAACAAATCCCTGTCTTCTTCCACATTCAGGCTCCCTTTCTCTTCATCCCTTCTCTTTTTTCCTTGCCTTTTTTATTCACCCAAATTTTCTTCCCCTGATAGACTTCTCCCCTCACTACTCCTCCTACTTCCCCTTTTTCTCCTTTAGCTGCTCCTCCTCCTCTTCTGTTCTTCCGTCTTCTTTCCCTCCTCCTAATACTACCTTTTTCGTTTTTTTCTTCTTCTTTTCATCCCCCCAACCTCGTTCTCATTTTTATACTTTCTCTTCTTTTGCTCCTCTCTTTCTCCTCCTCTTCTTTGTTGCATCCTCCTCTTCTACATCTTATACCGGTCCTACTCATCTTTTTGCCCTCTCTCTCCTCCTGCTGTTCTTTCTCCTTCTTCTGCTGCTTCTTTTTTTATTCTGCTCCTCGTCCTCTTCCTCCTTAATTTTTCTTCTAACCCTCACTATCCTCTTCTCCTCTTCCTCTCCTCGCTTCCTCCTTCTCCTTTTTGTTCATCTTGTGGTGCTGCTACTTCTTCTTTCGCTGCTCCTACTCCTCTCCTTTTATTTCTACCTCACCTCCTCCTTCTTCTTCGTCTCCTCGTTCAACCTTCTTCTTCTGTTCCTCCTCCTGTTCTTCCTCCTTCTGGTCGTCATCCTACTTCTTCTTTTGATCCTCCTACTCCTCCTCCTTCTGATCCTCCTCTTTCCTTTCTTCCTTATTCTAGAATATTCTCATCGTCTTTTTCTTAACCGAAATAAAGTGCCCCTGTATGGGTCGGACAGTCAGTTGTGGGGAGATGACGTCGAAGGGGTACCGTGTATGGGGGTGGTTCTTGCTCGTCAAAACTGTCGGATTACTGTCAAAGTCGTAATGAGATTTCGGTATGAATGCTGCTGGAAGAAGAAGGAGAACAAAAAAAAAACATATTTTCTGCTGTGAGAGCGAGACCACATGTATATACTGTAACATCTTTGCATTAGGTGAGAATATTAACGCACACACTCAGACGTATACGTCTTTAAACACGCGTGTACAGTAGAGCAGCCATGTATATATACACGTCTGGTTGCATGGTAGATTTATTCGCACAAACACATGATAGCAAGCATTTTATATTGTATAAGACAATGAACGGAAATAAATTTTTAACGAGTGTGAAAGTTTAAAATCAGTTGTACATTTTTTGTATAATTATTTTGAATAAATGTGGAGGTTTCAAGTAAAGCATATTGCATGAGACGCAAAGCACAAATCACAAATCACACAGACATCACATACACACCCACACGCAAACACCCCCCCACATATATATATATATATATATATATATATATATATATATATATGAAGAAATATAGTTTTAAGGTGTGCTATATTTATGAGATAAAGTGCTCAATATCATTGAAGTCAACACTCAGTGTTGACTTAAATATTCATTTTTATATATATATATATATATATATATATATATATATATGTGTGTGTTTTATTAAAGACGACAGACAAGATACTGTGATTAAGCTTATGCAATGTTGACTTCAATGTTCACTTTTATATTTTACACACACACATATACATATATATATATATATATATATATATATATATATATATATATATATATATATATATATATATATATATTAATAAACGTGCAATCAATTTACAAATTCATGAATTATTCACACAAAAACAAATGCAAAGGTTAATGATTTAATTGGCGAGAAATCCATCATCGCAAACAATTCAAATAATATACAAAAACCTCCGAATCCGTTATGAATGAAATGATCCTTGTTTCCATAAATTTATATATACATGTTTCATTAAAGACGACAGACAAGGTAGTGTGATTAAGGTCTGATGAATTGGATCGTATTTACGATTCCAATGGAATAAATTATGACCATGGAATATTAGTGCTTAAGCCTTTTTATTATATATATATATATATATATATATATATATATATATATATATATAAAAAGAGAGAGAGAGAGAGAGAGCAGACAGAAAAGACAGACAGACTGAGAGTATTAGGGGGCAGATCCTTATTCAAACACATATTGTTGAATATAACAGACAACGAATAATAAGTTTGATTATGAGCCGTTCTAAGCTTCGTATAGTAGCTTTAATTTCGGGAGAAAATAAAGACAAAAACTGTCCGACATTTGGATTTTTTTTATTATGCTGTTCCTCGATCTAAGCAACCCACACTCAATAAAATTAAATTTCAAACCAGTCACACCATATTACAAAGCATTTAAACACATGGTTCTTTTGATAACATTTATTTCTCTCACGTGGTCATGAACGACATCACAAAACTGTATTATGAATTTGCGAGCTGCGTATTCTATTCAGTGTCCGTTATAGTCGCATAGTAAACTTCTATATAAACATAACGGGACGTCATCTTTGATGGTGAACATCTCTGTTATAATGTCCATATATCCACTCTGATGGTGGCTCAATTGAGTCGAAACCTTAAATCGAGGAACAGCACGAGAAAAAATATCCAAATCGACAGTTTTTGTCTTTATTTAGTTACAAAACTAAAGCCATTACACGAAGCTTAGAACGGCTCATAATCAAAAGTAATAGACATTCGTTGTCTGTTATATTTAAAAATATCTATATATCTATATCTGTATATATTTGTGTATTTAGGCAGCAATCTTTCTTTCATGACATGTTACTTTGATTTAGTTTTTTATACAATTTCTCATGCGATCTAATAATTTTTTTTCTTTTCAGATTATATAAAAACTGTCCAATTGTTCTTTTTATCCGAGTGCTTTCGCCTATTTATTTAGCCATTTCAAGGTTGAAATATATTAACGGTTAAATAAATAGTTTGTTGCATGTATGTATTTATGTAATGTTTCCATTTTTCAAAACACGGTCAAGATATATATATATATATATATATATATATATATATATATATATATATATATATATATATATATATATATATATATATATGTATATGTATATATATATAATTATTTTAAAAAATATGATTCCATCGAAAAATAAAAATAATTATAATTTACGCTCTACTTGTGTATTCAGCACTATAATTTTTAATTATTAAAAAAAAAACTTCGGATTATTAACCTGTCTGTTCTTTCCTGATTTTCCGTATATTTGCACGCACGCACACACACACACACACACACATATATATATATATATATATATATATATATATATATATATATATATATCTGTCCATACATATATATATATATATATATATATATATATTGTTTCAATATCTAATTCTGGCTTATGTTGGTAGTCCTGGGTGTGACGATAAACTACATCCGACAGCAAGGCTTATGATCGGGAGATTGGAAGTTTTGATGGGCGTGGAAACCCCTTTGAATTGCTATTCTTCGGAAATCTGCAGTGATCCGAAGTGGTAGCAAATGTGAGGGTTATAACTCTGGATAAATAATGAACCCCCAAACAAAAACAAAATACTGTGAAATATAGTAAAATTACTTACAATACCTATTTTTAAAATAATGATCAACAATACATCTTATCTGTAAAATATTTAGATTTCGGCATTAAATAACCCATAAAGGTTGATATGCCGCTAAAGAAAATGAATCAACCAACAATACCTATTTATTTGTAGATGAAGACATACAAAATATTTAGACTCCGGCATTAAATAACCCATAGAGGTTGATATGCCGCTAAATAAAATCAATCAACCAACAATACATATTTATCTGTAGTTGAAGACATACAAAATATTTAGAGATCGACATTAAATAATCCATAGTGGTTGATATGCCACTAAACAAAATCAATCAACCAACTTAATGGCTATGCTCCGTTCCAATATACTGGAAACTTGTAACTGACTACTATTTCCGTTATAGTCCGCACCATTTGTAAAATATCTTATTTATTTCTAACTTTTTATAAAGTAAAATAGTGTACAGTACAGAATATTTAATACAGGTTGAAAATCCTTTATCGGAATTTCTTGGAACAGGAAGAGCGTTGGTTTTCAGATGTTTTAGAATTTTGGAATACAATCTATTTAATTTGCATAAAGCATCTATAATATATGTGAAGAATGGAACCCAAGCATAAACACGATATCCCTTTACATTTCATAATACAGCTTATGCATATACTCTGAAAGTAGCTTTATATAAATAGCATATACTCTGAAAATAGCTGTATATGAAATTTCATAAATTTTGTGTATATACCTGTAATGCTCACACGTATTTTTAAGTGCAGAAATTAAGATTTTAGGTAAAAATAATGTTTTGTACTTTCTGTAGAGGTATAAAAACATGATCACTATTTACAAAGATATATACATGTAGGTCTTTTTGACATTTTGAATAATATCTTTACTGAGAAGGAAACACCTGTTAAGTAACCTACGAACGAAGGTTTTGCTGTGACGATCGCTAACAAAAACATTGGCGTCAACATAGGCTACGTTGTTGTATTGGGCAGATGAGGTCATTTACAACAGCTGCACATCATCTAGGAACTCCCCCAGTGCTTTCTGAAACTTTCCATTTGTAGCAAGTCATGGCAGTGCCTGAAAAACGTTCGGATTTGGGAATTTCTGATAAGGAATATTCAACTTGTAATCAAAAATCAGAAAAAAACTCCAAAATCTGAAATTTGTATTTATTTTTCATGTGATTTATGCATTTTGTTTAATTTCATTCATTTTGAAGAAAGTAGTGTTTTTTTTTTGCAAACACTTTTTATATGAGATTTCGGAGTAATTCCGGGTTAATCAGACAGGTCGTTACATGCGGATTGCCTGCATATATATATATATATATATATATATATATATATATATATATATATATATATATAAAAAATTTCTCATATTCAACCTGTACAAAAAAAGACAATATTTATAAAGGTAAAGACAATAAGAAAGCTGTAATAATAGCCGACATTCAAGGAAACGCTTCAGCTAATATTACAGTTTTTCTATTGTCATTTACCTTTATATATATATATATATATATATATATATATATATATATATATATGCAGGCAATCTGCATTTACACACACACACACACACACACACACATATATATATATATATATATATATATATATATATATATATATATATATATATATAAAAGGTAAATGACAATAGGAAAACTGTAATATTAACCGAAGCGTTTCGTCCAATGTAGGCTATAATTACAGCTTTCCTATTGTCTTTTACCTCATAAATATTGTCTTTTTCTACAGGTTGACTCTGGATGTGCATATATGCTCAATCCCACAGTGTTCACATATGTTTATGGTGTGTGAGCTCCAGTGAGTGGGCGTGCGTGTGTGTGTGTGTCTGCGTACGTCAATGAATGCATATAAATCCAAAATTAAAAAAAAATAATCAGTTTCTCTGACGATCGCAAATAGCGTGAAACCCAGGGTCACAAACTCACATCAATACAACTAAATAGGTTAGCTCTATCACTGATATTGAGCGCTTTCCTGTAAGTACCGTACATATATAATATTTGAATGATATATATATATATATATAAAATTTCATAAATATATATATATACACATTTTACATATATATGTAAAATATAAAAATATGTAAAAATGTGTGCACATATATATCTATATATCTATATATATATATATATGTATATGTCACACATTATGAATCTTCGCAAACAATTTTAATAAAGTACATTAACCCCCCCAACCTTCTCGGTTTATATATATATAAACAATGTAAACAAACTGGCGCCATATTTGTTATCAGCACGGTGATTTGAGCGTGCGGAATTATTAGAAAGGTTTAGTAAAATTCCCAGAATTGAGCAAACGAAACGTTTATTAATGTTGCAGGTGAATGTTTATGATCAAAAGAAGCTAATAAATAAGATAATCAAACAAATAATAACAGATACAAACAAAGGCACAGTTTT